GTCAAATGCTGCTGTGAGAACTAATAACACAAGTAGCGCTGACCTGCCCTGGTCAAGCTGGCATCAAAGGTGATCTGTGATGGAGACCAGCACAGTCTCTGTCCCATGCCCCGCACGGAACTGGACTGGAAGGGATCTAGCCCGGCTATGTCGTCTAGGAATTGCTGCAACTGCTCCGCTGCTGCCCTCTCAATCACCTTGCCCTGGAATGAGAGATTCGAAACTGGGCGGTAACTGGAGGGAACCGAAGGATCTAAATCTGATTTCTTCAGCAGGGGAGAGACCACCGCCTCTTTAAAACCCTCTGGGAAAAACTCCTTGTTCAAGGGAGCTGTTTATGATCTTCAACAGAGGGTCACGTAATCCCTCCAAGCAGGATTTCACCAACCAAGAGGGACATGGATCAAGGGAGCAAGTGGTCGGTCTAGCTGCAGCTATGAGCCTATCAACAGCCTCTGTGTCCAGCGGGATGAACCGGTCGAGGACGGGCCCAGTAAGTGGCCATGGAGTCTCAAATTCTCTCACTGTATCAATTGTGGCGGGGAAGTCCCGGCGAAGTAGCGAGATCTTGTCTGCAAAATAGCTCTGAAAATCCTTGGCTGAAGGGGCCTGATCACCACTTTTGGGGACGGTAGGAACCGTCGTTAGAGATCGAATTATTTTGAACAATTTTGCCGGACGTGAGCTAGCAGACGCTATCAAAGAAGCATAATATACTCGCTTTGCCTCGGTGATAGCAAGCTCATAGGATTCCCTAAATGCCTCATAAGCTGATCTCGATGCTCCGTCACGGAGTTCTCACCACATGCCCTCTAGCCGTCTTTTTCCCCGCTTCATCAGTCGAAGTTCCTCGGTGAACCAAGGAGACCGATTTCGGTGGGGTCAGAGAGGGCGTCTAGGGGCGATCTCGTTGAGTGCATTGGATAGCCTGATGTTCCATGTGTGCACCTGCACATCGATCGAGTCACTGGCAGGCTCCAGATCCCTCAGAGCATTCTGGAACCTACTGGGTTCCATAAGTCTCCATATGGCGAGCCCAAATTGGCTCGGCGCCTAGGGTGGGTAGGCGTGCTCCAACCGGACTCTCAGAGCACAGTGATCCGACCATGGAACCTCTATAGTAGAGGCTTGGGTCACTTGAATTCCTGCGCTGAAAATCAGATCTAGCGTGTGTCCCGCCTGATGTGTGGGCCCAGTAATACAGAGCAAGAGTCCTAGTGTCTCCATGGTAGACAGCATCAGCATCAGCATGGACATTGAAATCCCCCAAGACAATAAGTCTGGGGAATCTCAAGGACCATTCTGACACAGTCTCCAGCAGCTGGGATATGCTGTCTGCTGGTGCGCTAGGCACACAGTACACCAGCAGAAAGGCCATATTCTCAGAGGAATCCCACACCAGGCCAACACTTTCAATGCCAGAAATGTTCAGCACAGGAACTGCCCTAAGAGAGAAGCTTTCTCGAGAGAGCATAGCCACCCCACCCACCCCCACCCCCACCTCCCAATCCGCATCTGGTGAGTGATTACATAACCTGGAGATGTTATTTCCTGGAGTAGGATCTCATCCCCCTCTTGGATCCAAGTTTCTGTGATACACACTAGGTCAGCTCCCTGATCATTAAGAAAATCCCTGATAGTAGCAGTTTTGTTCCTTATGGACCTAGCATTCACCAACACCAGAGTAGGAGGGGAGGTGTGCCTGGGGATGGGCTGCAGGTCAGAGGGGGGCCGAGTCTCCCGCTGACTCAACCTCCCTCTAGTGTTTGGCCTGCGCCTACCATCATACCTCCCCCTCCCAGAGATCGTAGGAATCCCCATACACAGACCTACTTCTCTTGGGAGCTCTGCAGCACAAACTAAGTGCCCAGTGTGATAAAGGGTCTATGTAGATGTGCCCTAAGGAATCATAAAGAGCTAACCATAGAAAGGACATATTCTTGACAGAAAAAGGAATCAAATATTTATATTTATTAAGACTTCTTTCTTGAGTATGGGACCAAAAACATCATACTGAAAACACTTCCTATGCAGTGTTGCCAGCATCCATGGTACTGGTACCTACAGTTTCATTTATCCACATCCAACAAAATATGTCATCCCTAGGCATTTTCTAGTTCCCCCAGTGCAAGTTTATGGTATTCTTAGGACAGAGGTCCTTCATTTCAATAGGTGTCATTATTCCCTATAGCTCACATATCCACACAAAGGCAAGAAATGAATTTCCTATGGATAAGGTAGTCATACTGAACCCCAATGAGATTAGAGTCTAAACATGAAATTAATTTATATTTCACAAGGCCTAGAGATAATTTGATACACATTATTTGAAATCATTTTGTACATGAAACAAAGTCTGTGTACCAAAGTATGTGTACCACGCAAATGCAAAGATGTCACTATTTTGGATTTCCAGTTTAAAGATCCACACTAGAGGGTGCTGTTCATAAATATTTATCTTCGGTTGTCACTTAAATTTTTTGAAATCTTTTTTAAAGTTCCATTGTTCTGGGTTTTACTTTTTAAATCAAGCTATACTAAAATAGGAAAATAAATTAAAATCAAACAACAGCACAAATTTAATGAAAACTGGGGGATATTAAAAGGTCTTATAGGGTCATGGGGAAGCTATTAAGTATGGCGTGATCGTAAGCATTACTAAATGCTTCTGAGATGAGAAGCTCTAAGAGAGCAGCCCTGTGGCATGACTGTCAATGCTATTGAAACTTTTGAAAAATTATAGAATGGGGAATTTATTTGAGTAATTGACAAGATCAGTCCCAAGCACTTTATGATTTTCCTGCTTCTTGGTGGGGAGTTGGACTGAATGGGCCACGAGATCTCTTCCAACTCTATGATTCTATGCTACTCTACCGGTTTGCGTTGAGATCACATTTACTTGATGTCAAATTCTGGCTGCACAACTAGTTCCATTACTTTGTTCATGGAAAAGAATTAAAACAAATCCTGTCACCCTGTGCCAAATACTGGACCAGATTCAGGCTTTCCCTCAGCTCAAGTGAACCCATGGCAAGATAGGGTTAAGGTGGCCTTGACCAGTGTTACCCTGGATCAACCCTATGCAGTATATAGATGCCAAGGAGTTGATCCATATCTATGCAAACTTAAGTGGTCAGTGTAGATGTATCCACAGAGTAAAGACAAAGATCTACACAACACTCAAAAAGAGGGGAAATTCAGACAGGAAAAAATCAGGACCAGCTAATCACCTCCCAACAAAGATTTCCCAGATAGGAAGCAGCCAAGGTTTGAAGCTGCAAGGCTATTCAATACTAATAGCCAGAGTGTGGTGGAGGCTCCTTCTTTGGAGGTGGATGGCCCATGAGGTCTCTTCCAACTCTATGATTCTAGAAAACAGTTTGAAATCACAGTTAATAAACATAGGTAAATGTAGCAGGTATGGAACTTCGTAAGTTCATATTAATGAACTACTTTCAGAGATATTTTGCTTTCAAGGGAAATGCTGATAATGAAAATAAATAAGGCCAGTTCTGGAAAATCTAGATGCTATATACTGTGTGAAATCAATATCTTTGGAAGTAGTTCATGAATAAGAACTCATGAATTCCATACTTGCTACATTTACCTGTGTTTATAAACTGTGATTTCAAACTGTTTTCTAGAATTATGAACAGTCAGGAAGTTCTTCTTCATGTTTCGGTGAAATCTCCTTTCTTGTAGTTTGAAGTCATTGTTCCTCGTCCTAGTCTCCATGGCAGCAGAAAAACAAGCTTGCTCCCTCCTCCCTATGACTTCCTCTCACGCATTTATACATGGCTATCATGTCTCCTTTCAGCCTTCTCTTCTTCATGCTAAACATGTCCAGCTCTTTAAGCCATTCCCCATAGGGCTTGTTCTCCAGACTGTTGATTATTTTAGTTGTTCTCCTCTGAATACATTCCAGCTTGGCCACATCTCCCGTTAATTGCAGTGCCCAGAATTGGGCACAGTATTTCAGATGTGGTCTGACCAAAGCAGAATAGAGGGGTAGCATGACTTCCCTTGATCTAGACACTATACTCCTATTTATGCAGGCCAAAATCCCATTGGCTGTTTTGCTGCCGCATGACATTGTTGGCTCATGTTTAACTTGTTGTCCACGAGGACTCCAAGATCTTTTTCACCCGTACTGCTGTTGAGCCATGCGTCCCCCATTCTGTATCTTTGCATTTCATTTTTTTCTGCCTAAGTGGAGTATCTTCCATTTGTCACTGTTGAACTTCAGTTTGTTAGTTTTGGCCCATCTCTCTAATCTGTCAAGATCGTTTTGAATCCTGCTCCTGTCCTCTGGAGTATTGGCTATCCCTCCCAATTTGGTGTCGTCTGCAAACTTGATGATCATGCCTTCTAACCCTTCATCTAAGTCATTAATAAAGATGTTGAACAGGACCGGTCCCAGGACGGAACCCTGCATCACTCCATTCGTCACTTCTCTCCAGGATGAAGAGGAAGCATTGGTGAGAACCCTTTGGGTTTGTTTGCTTAACCAATTACAGATGCACCTAGTTTCACCTAGCCCACATTTGACTAATTTGGTTGCCAGGTGGTCATGGGGGCTTTGTTGAAGGTCTTACTGAAATCCAGATATGCCACACCCACGGCATTCCCTGCATCTAAGCTTGTAACTCTAATCTGTTTTTATTACTGCATCCCTAGCAAACTGTGTTTCCCCTTCCCAGGGTGTTTATGCCTCACTTTGTGCTGGCCATGGACCATAATAAAATGTTAATAGATTGATTGACAAAGAGCTGTGTATCAGTGGGATCACAGAGGTGCACATCATTGGCTTTGATTGAACATTGCAATATTGCTAAGGAATGGGATGGACTTCCAGTTATACACTTCCTTGTGCATTTACACACAAAGATACAGTTTCTGCCTATGCTTTTCTCATTTATAATTGAAACACATCTTTATGCTGCCTGTTGAAAAATTAGTAGAAGTTTATATGTTTAAAAAGGCTCACTGGATACTTTTTTCAAAAATAATATTTTATTTAGAAGAATAACCACACAGTTAATAATATATATTATAGGAAAGAAAGCAATGAAAGTGGGTAAACACTATCCATCTAATTGTTCGTTGTTAAATCAGTTCTTGAACAAAAATATTTATTCAGACTACATGACATATATGGATTGAATTTGCATGAACTAAACAGTATAATTCTGTAATAATTGAGCAGCAGAAAATAATTTATCTTAACTCTTGTATATTAATTCAAACAATTTTTCTACCTAATAATTAATACAAAGGATAACAGGAGGCAACAAACTCTGGGACCCTAATAAAAAGAATATCACCATAAATTCTTATTTTCATCATGTTCAAATGTCAAGTTACTTGTTAGGACAATGTGAAGTTGCTTTTTATTAAATCCTGGAAATCAGGTATACCCATAGTGTGGGATGACTGCTCTATTTAATTCAGGCTATAGCTCGAACCAGCAATTTCTCATAGGTTCCCTCCACACTGCTCTATATCTCAGGATCTGATTCCAGATTATCACCTTATCCCAGACTCCGTGGCTGTGTAGACTCATGTAATCCAGTTCAAAGCAGATAATCTGGGATCTGATCCTGGGATATAAAGATGAGTAGAGGCCAAATAAAATCCAGCCAAATAAAATCTAGATTATTTGCTTTGAACTGGATAATATGGCAGTATAGACTCATATAATCCAGTTCAAAGCAGATAATGTGGATTATCTGCTTTGATAATCTGGATTATATGGCAGTGTAGAAGGTGCCTGAGACTCATGACAGACAGGAGCTATTTGTTAGCACCTACTACCAAGAACCCTACAGAGTCAGATATATCAAGGAACCCATGGTTTCTTAAACTGCTCCCTTGTTCAGTTTTAGCCCCTCTGATAACCTGAAATGGTGGTTTGGATTTTAACTTTCAAATGTCATTTCTCTAAATGTATTTTAAAGCAAGGTTCTATGGGCCCTTCCAGACAGGCCCTTTATCCCAGGAGCCGATCCCAGGCTTTCTGCTTTAAACTGGATTATGTGAGTCTGCACTGCCAGATAATTTGGGTAAAACAAAAAACCTGGGATTAGATCCTGGAATATATGGCCTGTCTGGAAGGGCCCTAAGTATCCTTCTTGCTTAGCTTGTTGAATTTTATCATTCTAAGCACATTGCTTCCATTCTCCTGACAGGACAGCCACAGACTGTTTCTCTTTGCATTTACAGTATAAATGGAATCATAGCTGCTTTCCTCCAGCGGCATGCAATACACCTCTTCAGATATTGCTGGTGTTTCTTTCGAGCCCACTGTGCCATTTGGATAGCCATCAGAAATGCGAAAACTCCAACTAGAAAGGAGGAAAAAAGATTTCAAGTACTGAGTGTCAATGGCAATATGCTGGGGCAGCTATTCTCATCATCACACTCCTGGAAGTCCTAGTGGGAAATCTAGAGCGGACTATTCCTGAATAAAGAAGTGGGAGGAATTGCAATTTTTTAAGGCTATGCCAAAATCCCATAACCTTATTATGTTTTAGAACCAAAGAAAGAGTTCTTCTACTGAGCAGATCTAATCTAGTTCTCGGTCTGTGCTCAGTTATTTTCTGAAATATAGAGTAAAACCTAAGGATTCAGTCATCTCCAATTTGCACTCTGGACTCTGCCCAACATCCAAGTTTATTAAAAAATAATCCACCAAAACTATGTTTGAACCCATTCTCTCCATAGTGGAGGAATATTAAGTTTATTCTTCACATTTATTCTTCTATCACATGTCAACAAATAGTAACTATCTAAATTAAACCTCACCTCTGAGGAAGCTTGCCATAGATGCAGGCGAAACGTCAGGAGAAATGCCTCTAGAACATGGCCATATAGCCCGAAAAAACCCACAAGAACTGAAGCATGCTTTTATTTCAGAAAAGAGATGTTTCCGAATAGATTTGGTTTTTTTTTATTCTGTTGTGTCATCATAGTTGGAAATAACAACAACAAAATACAGTTTAAAATGTGTTCATTTATTTCAGTTTAATATATATATATATATATATATATATATATATATATATATATGTTTCTGTTTCTCAGAGGCATTACAGAAAACCAATAGTAGGGAGCTAAATAATTGCTTATGTTGTTCTTGCATGCAAGAATACAATCCAAAAAAATTCTCACCAGTGGGAGTTACTGTGAGAATTATGTGCAATTTTTGATACTTGGTACAAAATAGTACTTGTAATTTCTCTTTTAAAAAAAATCTTCACAGACCTGGTAATATTCCCCATAAAGCCTTTTGCAGAAGGGAGTAGCAGCAACTTCAACAATTCCACAAATAGCAATAGTTTGTTTAGTTATCTAATAACTTGCTCTTACCTGGAAGAGTTTGTGTCATCACCGTAAAGCTTATCCAAGAGCCAATCTGTCACAAAGAAAAAAAGAGTCACTCCTTTGAAATCTAAATAGTTGCTCTCTGCTATGTCTTGCCAACATTCCTTTTAGTCCGATCAAACTATTTCTTTAGCTACTGAGTTCAAACTCAGCTCTTCAAGTGTTCTAGACAGATTCATTTCCAACAGTGATAGACACCTCCCTTACTAGCACTCTCCTGAACAGTGATGTCTTGCCAACTGAGTAAGCAAAATGTTCCCAAACCACTTGTTACTGAGATTGCAGAGACTGGCTGAAATGTTTTAAGTTTAGTTCATTTAAGGATTAATGGGATGGTGCCCCCATGAGCCAGGGTGACTTGGCATGCCCCCTCTCTCCTGTCCTTCAGAAAGATGGTTAAAAATTTGGCTGTGGGGCCAAGCAAATAATCTCTGATGTAAGCCTGATTCTGTTGGCTCAACTTTCTCTGTACCTTCAAGCTCTTTTGGTGCTTTTTGTCCAGCTGGCTTGACCTTGAGCTTATCTGGTTCCTACTCTGGTTCCTACTGCCCTGCATGTGTTTCTGTATCTAGTCTCAGGTATTTGAGCAATTTCCTCCTACTTTCCAAATCAAAGGCTTTATAGAATTTATTTCTATATTCAATTAGGGTAGCTGGAAAAGCCCAGGTGTAACATTGTCATTTCCTTTCAAGGGCTCCTATACTGCTAATCCTATAATCCATGGTTCAGCCTCCCCCAAACCAACCAAGTGGGTTGTGGGGGTCTGTGCTCCAAGTTTGGTGTAGGTACATTCATTAGAGTTGCAGTGGTCTCTGGAGGTGGGTGAAGATATTGCAAATCCCATCACCCATGGTTCATTGTCCCGCAAACCTCACCAGGATGTAAAGTGCATCATGGAGGGCCTGTGTGCCAACTTTAATCCAGTTCCATCATTTGGGGGGGGGGGGGGGTGCAGTTAAAGTACTGCAAATCCCATCATCTATTATCCATCCTCCTTCAAACTACTCCAGGGCATAAAGTGGGTCACGTGGTGTCTATGTGCCAAGTTGAATTCAGTTCTGTCATTCATGGCAACTGTAGCAGTCTTTGGAAGTGGGTGAAAGTACTACAAATACCGCCAGCCATGGTTTATCCTCCCCAAACCATTCCAGAACATAAAGTGTGTTTGTATGCCAAGTTTGGTCCAGGTTCATCATTCATAGGGGTCACAATGGTCTGTGGAATTGGGAACTGAAGCTGGTGAAAGTACTGCTTCTTCGCTATGTTTTTTTTGTGGGGAATCTGTGTGCCAAGTTTGGTCCAGGTCTGTCATTTGTGTGGGTCTCAGTGGTGTGTTGAACTTAGAGCTGAATCGGGTGAAGGTACTGCTGATCCCATCATCTGTGGTCCACCCCACCCCCCAAAGTCACACCAGTATGTAAAGTGAGTCATGGGGCATCTGTGTGCCAAGTTTGGTCCAGGTCCATGATTTGTGGGGGTCACAGTGGTCTTTGGGAGCTGAATAGGGTGAAGGTACTGCAAATCCCACTGCCCATGCTCCATTTTTGCCCAAACCTCATGAGAATGTCAGGTAGGACACCAGGGGCCTGTGTGCCAAGTTTGGTCTGACCCATCATTGGTGGGGATCACAATGGTCTGTGGGAGCCAAAGCAAAGGAAAGTACTGCAAATCCCATCATACGTGGCCCATCCTCCCCAATGTGCACCAGGACATAAAGTGCATCATGAGGAGTCTGTGTGCCAAGTTTGCTCCAGGTGTGTGTGGAAGGAAATGTACACAGCCAGGCGCAACCACCATTAGAGGGGCTATAGATGTTTGCAGCCCTATCTTCCCCCCCTCCCCGCCCAACCCATGTATACCAACCCATATTCATATATTATGTGTTTCCTCTTCCTCTTTATTTCCGCCCTCCTTCTTCTAGATTTTTCTTTCTTTAAAAAAAAAATCTAAGGGACTCAGGAAAAGGATACTGAGAATCCTGTAAGGCTATGAGACTCCATGAGGGAGATCCTCAGTGTCAAAGAGGCAGGGTCCCTCAAGAAAGTAAATTGTGATTCTGTTTGGTATCTTAAATATACAAATTAAACATGGTCCCAAGTAGGCAAAACACACATATTACCATTGAGCCAAAACCCTCTTATTAAATAAAATCATTTAGAAGCAAATTCCTTTTGAAGGCAGCTCCTCTGAAAGCCATGAGTGCACTCAAATCAATGCTCACTGTGAGATCTCTGTACTACTGAAATCACAGCTTTTAGTATAATATTCTACCAGAATGGGAGGGATACACTGCAGTAATTTAGCACCCTGGTATCATTTACTTAGCTTTGCTGAGGTGGCAAAAAGAAAAAAAAATACCTCGTATGTATAGTTTGGACAAGAAACCAATATGAAGAGCCATGTGAAAGGATTGATTGATGGACTTGGAAAAGAAGTTAACTTCCCTTTAGGAAAAAGAGAAGAAAAAGAACAACTTTTATTTATATGCAGTTCAGAGATTACAATAAACTTGTTATCTGCCATTAATTTTTATTGCCCATGGAGAAGTTATCCTCTACATAACATTCATGCTTCATTTTTTTCAGTGTGAGTTTTAATGGATTTCTGTGGAATAACCAGTTGCAAAATGTCTTAAATTGAATAATATGGATATGGAGTGTACAATGCAACATTTAACATTGGTACTGTTAAAATTAACTTACTAGTTTATTTTTTTAATGCAGGGGGAATTTTTGCCACTTTGAACTATTTTGTTCAATATGTATAGCTAAGGACAGGATGTCCCAAGGAATGAAGTGGGATTTTTTTCAAACAAGGGTTTATTTTTTAATTTTTTGCAAGATCTGTTCAGATAGGGTTTGCCTTTGCCTTCATATAACTCTGAGAGAATATGATGTATCCTGATATCATCCTGTGGGTTTGCATGAGTGATCACCAATGCAAAGGTTCTGGCAAAGATGAGGGTAAATTCAAACCCACTTGCTATGATCCAGGGTGATTTTTTTAAAAAAAAAAGATAAATAAAATCCTGGAGGGACAATGGGAGGAAATCTCAGTACAAATGACCCCAGGGAAAGTGCGGTCTTAAAAAAGGTACTTCTGTTTCAGTGGAAGGGGTTGAAAGCAGTGCTGGTAGCCATTGCTTTCCCATGTGTTGGGAATTAAGCGAATGATTGAGTTAGAAGCTGAAGGAGATTAGTGTGATGGAAGCGAGTAAATTATTTTTCTTCTTTAAAGACTGAACCCCATGAAACAACACCCTTTCCTCTGCTTTCCCTTGTTTTCTCCAATTCAAGGTATTGAAGTCAGTAGTACAATGCTCAAACCACTATACAAGGCTGACTCATATAATCTCTGTTTCTCTCTGTGTTATTATATAAAAATGAACAATCTATAAAACTAAAATTCATTAAAAGACAAATTATAGAAAATAAATTAACAGAAAACTATTTAAATCCCATTACAGTAAATTACTAAAAGCCTGGTGGAATAAGAGAGCTTTCACCTGCCTGCCCTCAAAAACCTTAGAATTCAAACAAGATGATAAAAGGAAATGGGGGCTTTCAAATGAAATATGCAATAGCTTGGGAGCCAGCAACCAAGGGGTAAGAAGTAACAATGATCCCCTTGCTCCATGCTGCCACTGCCTCCTCCCTGTTACAGCTCCTTTTCAGTGTTGCCCTCACCACAGCACAACAAACCCACATTCTCCGAGCCAAAAAAGAGGAGGATGGATGGTGGTGACAACCATAAGAGAAGGGAGATGCCATTTTTTCCACATTGAAGGGTTACTAGAGCCATTGCTTCAATGTTCTTCATTCTGCTTATTTCTTCTGCCATGTCCAGGACTTGGGGAGTGGTATAGCTGATGGCTGGTGGCTCTGACTAGCTAGCAGAGCAGGATCTTCACCTATTTACTAGGGGTGTCACCGTAAGTCATATCAAATTCATTAGATTCTTACTTATGATATGATATCCAATGCTCAGGCATGGCCTGCACCAAAAACGTAAGACTAGAAAGCAGAGTTTCCTGGTAAGGAGATTGAGAAAGCACAGAATTCTGGGAAATGAAGTTTGGGAAAGTGAGGAGCCCTATGCCAGAGGATTCAAAAGGCCCTGCCATAAACTACATTTCCCAGAATTCTGCTCAGTATCAGAAAGCCCCAATAAGGATAGGGGAAAAATTTGTCCCTTTGTAGCAACAGCCAGCCAGAGTTCCAATAAATTGTTGAATCTGCAAAGAGGAGGACTGACTGATACTTCTAGGAAGTAAATCTCTGTGTTATGCTAGGAAGAAATCCCTAATTGGAGTTTTATTGATTAATATGAGATAGCTGCTATGGCTTTTTAAAAAAATGTTTTTGTCAAAATGTGTAAAAAAAAATCCTTAAAATCAGTAGAGATGTGAATATTTCTGAAAATTGGGGAGAATTATCCCCTTTTATCTTGTGTCCTTGTATAGGAAATTCAAGAAGATAGCTCTTGGAGTTTTTTTTTTAAATAATGTTGTTTATAAAAACTGAAAATTCCCCCAAATTTGTGGCTAAGTGAAATGTTCTGAAACTTGAAGGGCTAACAGTGGTAAATGTGTTCTACCATGGCAGCAAGTTCCACCTCAATAGCTGTAAAAATGAGGGAGAAAGGAGACCCTGAAGTTTCCCCAATTGTGCAAATATTATAACAAAAAAAAACCTAACAAAATTTAATTGCTCTCATTGTAGTAACATTTTTTTTACTAACGATACTTTAGGAACATTTTAGAAATGAAATACTGGTGCCCCCCAGTTTTGTAATGAGTTTTGAAACTTTTTTTCAAAAGTCATTACAAAACCAGGGGGCACCGGCGTTTTATTTCATGCACATGCCTATAATTTACCAACTAGCCAGCAGCCATTCTTATCCACTTATCTATTTTTATGTAGGCAGTTTGTGTTAAAAACAGAACAAGAAAAGAAACTGTGACAAGCTGACATTTCTTTAACAGTGAGAATGTTCCACTCTAACCAGATAGAATTCTAGGGGGAAATGTCATAGGTAAACATTGAAAGACAAGAAGCTACATACCTGATTGACTTTGATGGACTACAGCCACATTGATAAAATGATTCCCAGCTTCACACATCTGCAAAACATGTCACATATTATCAATAGATATTTGGATTTTCATTGTACAATTGTATATTTAGCAGGTGGGATTTAGATCTCTTCCACACAGCCCTATATACCAGAATTTCAAGGCAGAAAATCCCACAATATTGGCTTTGAACTGGGTTACCTGAGTTCACACTGCCATATATCTCAGTTCAAAGTAGATAATGTGAAATTTTATTCAGCTGTGTGGAAGGGTCCTCAGGCAAGTACTGTTTTCAGTTATAAAACTTGACACATATATCTGTCCATCTTAATTGTCATGAACTGGCAGCGAGGTGGTCATAGCATTCTGCTACATTTAGCAAATCGTTGTGTTTGTCATTGTTGATTATACAATGAGAAAGGCCTACTCTATGGTCTAAGACTGAAATTATGTAAATTATGTTATTATATAATATTATATATTAAAACTAGATGTGCTCAGCTGAAGCAAGCCTTGCTTTCCTAGAAGGTTTGCTGACAATTGAACAAAAATTGAAAGTCCCTGTCTTCAATCTACCATTTGGGTAAGTATAATTTCCTTCCCCAGTTCTGGCCACAATGAGACAGTACTCTTAAAAAATATGCAAACACTGACATTTAAAGTTCCAAGGAACTACTGTAAGCTTTGAAGAGCCCTCAGGTCTAAGGAGGAAGGGTCCCTTGAGTTTAATGACAAAGCTATGGGAAACTATTCAAATGTAAGTATATTTTATTTATTTTTTTTAAAAAAAAGAAATAACTTTATAATCATACTCAAAACTTGAACTTTTTAAATTTTCAGTATTAAATATAACTAGAGGTTTTAATGAGGAGAATGGGTTGTTGTAGGTTTTTTAGGCTGTATGGCCATGTTCTAGAAACATTCTCTCCAGACGTTTTGCCTGCATCTATGGCAGGATGCCTGCCATAGATGCAGGTGAAACATCAGGAGGGAATGCTTCTAGAACATGGCCATACAGCCCGAAAAACCTACAACAACCCAGTGATTCTGGCCATGAGAACATTCGATAATACATTAGTGGAGAATGTTTCTACCATGACCCCTTCCCTTCCCCTTCCCCTTCCCCTTCCCCTTCCCCTTCCCCTTCCCCTTCCCCTTCCCCTTCCCCTTCTCTTCTCTCTCTATATATATGCTAACATTTCAGTTCAATTCCAGAAATAAGATAAGATAATATAGACACTAAAACCTAGGGTAAATTCAGATAAGATTTTTATTAACTCCTCTCCAAGTGATGACATATGTTTAGGCCCAGCACTGACAGTGTTTAAGACACAGGGGCAGAGATATAGTGAACACAATTCCACAGAGGCAACACACAGAGTTATTAGCCACCTATGAAATCCCATTTTGGTTCTTACGCTTTTTGACTTCATATAAGAGCCTGGAATTTTGCAAACCCCTGCTAACATATATGCTAGAAGTTCCTCATCTGAACATTTTAAATCTATCCTATGCAAAATTACATTCCAGAGCAATATTTATTATTCTCCCGCCTCCTACCCATACATACCAGAAACACAAGGGTAGCAAAAGTAACTTGTTTGTTTCCAAGTGCTAGAAAACACAATGAAATCATACATTAATATGATCTGAACTCTATTTGTGTCTTTCTCTTGGGTACATGCATGGTAGCCTCATTAATCTCTGATTTTTCTTCACCTCAGCCACTATGATGAGTTGGACCTCATTACTGCTAGTTATTTGATTCCCACACATATCTCCTCATAACATCTCAGTACAGGAAAACTCTATTATGAGTTTGCTTATGCTGCATTACCTCAAAGCAGACTATACTCACCAATGCTAATATCATAGAATCATAGAATCATGGAGTTGGAAGTGACCTCATGGGCCATCCAGCCCAACCCCCTGTCAAGAAGCATGTTGTTGCCTTCAAGTCACTTATCAATCTATCGCAACACCGTGAATTTCACAGGGTTTTCTTATACAAGAAATACTCAGAGGTGGTTCACCAATTCCTTTCTATGAAATACATACATCTGGCATTCATTAGGGGAAAAGGTTTTTTTAAAAAAATAATGAGAATTCAGATTGGAGCAATGGAAGTAGCCATGTTTTTTCCCAACAATGCCCCTGGAATGATGTTTATTGTGATCGTTTTCAGATGCATTGTGGAGTGATGTGGCCACAGAATAGAGTGATGGTGCTGGTTTCCCACTACAATTTAAAACAAGGGTGAATGTGAGAAGTCTGTGCTGCAAACCTCTACAAAAGTTCAATTGCCAGTCTAACTGTGGTTCATAGTTTTATTTAATTCTTGACCATTTCATTGAACATTAAATTGAAGATGTTTATACGGCTCTTAGTCTACTTACATGGAGGACTATACAGAGGATGATTGATATAATATGCGATCCAAGAGGTGAAGCCCCAATAAAAGGCACAACCCTATAATGAAAATAAAAAGAAAGCTATAGGGTTTTTCCTGGTTCATGTGACTTCCTTGATTTAATCTGTCCATCTGGAATGTGGTCTTCCCTATTGTTTTCTATCTTTCTGTCTTGTTTTCTCATGATATGGTCACAGTGTGGGAGTCTTGGGGATCATCATCATCATCATCCTCACTTTATTTCTTAATTAGTCGCTCTCCACCAAGGTGCTCCAAGCGACTTACAATTTAAAACAGTTTATACACAATATAAAAGATCCAATATAAAAACATTCAACATAAAAACATTCAACATAAAACATTCAACATAAAAGCATTCAGCAGTGACTATGGTAAAATTTGATCCGGTTACTTAAATGCACAACCAAACAGCCAAGTCTTGAGCGCCTTTGCAAAAGGTCGCAACTCCGACATTGCTCTAATATATGGAGGCAATGAGTTCCACAGAATTGGAGCATAGATCGAAAACACTCTACGCCTTATAGCTTCCAAATGTGCCTCCCTAGGACCCGGTATGTAGAGGAGATTTTCCTGGGTGGATCGAGGTGACTACTCGATCCACCACAAGATTTCAGTCTTGCTCTGTTCTAGGACCCAATTTTCACAGTCCATGGTATTTATTAAACTCTTCTCCAGTATAACATTTCTAATTATTTTATTTTATCCTATCAGCTTTTTTCACTGCCCAGCTTTCACAACCATACATAGAAATGAGAAATACAATGATATGGACAATCATAGAATCATAGAACCAAAGAGTTGGAAGAGATCTCATGGGCCATCCAGTCCAACTCCCTGCCAAGAAGCAGGAATATTGCATTCAAATCACCCCTGACAGATAGCCATCCAGCCTCTGTTTAAAAGCTTCCAAAGAAGGAGCCTCCACCACAATCCTAACTTTGGAGTACAATTTTGAGAAGATTCATCAGCTATACTGATGACAATTGGTTTATTTGTTATTTAATGTGTCATCATTGTAATGCAGACATAGTGACATTCAAGAGGGGTTACTTCTGCCTTTCCTAGGAGTCAAATTGTTGGCAAGACATATCTGTTTAGCAGGCCTGCCAAGCAGATGGAGCTCTATTTGTTTACATCTCTTGAAAATGATGTGTTATATTTTCTTAGCAGGCTGCATGATATTCTGAATTGAAAGGTCTTTAGGAACCAAACCAACCATATTGCAGTGGTTAATATATTGTACTAAGACTAAAGAAACAGGGACACAAACTCTTTCCACCTGCCTTCCAATTTACAGTATTAATAAACCATTATATAGATTGAGCATATCTTATACAAAATTGCCAAATACAAATACTCTGAAATGCAAAATTGTCAACATAAATGACAATTTATATTAGTTCAATATATACAAAATTTGTTTGATGCACAAAATTATTCAAAATGTTGTATTAAATGAGATTCAGGCTATGTGTAAAAGGTGTATCTGAAGCATAAATTAATTTTGTGTTTAGACTTGGGTGCTATCTCTACAATATCTCATTATATACGAAAACAGTGATTTGGCCTCAGGAATCTTCCAAATTTAGTGTGTTAGAAAGATGTATCAAATCAATGCAATAGTGATTTAGATTGAGGATTATTAGTCTCCCAATTTTTGTGCTTTATTTCTAACATAATTGTTACTTTGGCCTCAGTAATCTCAACAAGGAAGGATTATTTTTAATCTACCAAATTTAGTACTTTAGAAAAATGTATCAAATCAATGCAATAGTGATTTGAACTGAGGTATGGCAAGGATTATTTTTAATCTCCTAATATTAGTGATTTAGAAAGATGCAGTAGTGATTTGGAATCAGGAATCTCAAAAGTAAGTAATATTTTTAAACTGCCAATCTTAATGTTTTAGAAATATGTATCAATGCAATTGTTACTTTGGCCTCTGGAATCTCAACAAGAAAGGATTATTTTTAATCTCCCAATTTTAGTGCTTTAGGGCTGTTCCAGACATCCCTTTATCCCAGGATCATTCATGTTCTAAAAACGCGGATGTTCCTGGGGTCTGTCTACACCCATCCCAGAAAGTGTGTGCTTTCTGAGGTGGATGTCCAGATGCTCTCACGGGACTGGCCTGCGAGAACATCTGGAGGCCCTCCACACCCTCCCCCACAGCCCCCAAACCCCTTTGAAAAGTAAGGAAAACTTACCCGGCCTCCAGTAGACTGTAGCCGGAGCTCTCCCGGCACATAGAAATAATGCCCCAAGACAGCGGGGGTGGGGGGAGCAATTTTTAGAAATAATTATCAGTGCAATCGTAACTTCGGCCTCAGAAATCTCAACAAGGAAGGATTATTTTCAATCTCTCAAATTTAGTGCTTTAGAAAGATGTATCAAATCAGTGTAATAGTGATTTGGACAGAGATACGGCAAGGATTAATTTTAATTTCCCAATCCTAATGCTTTAGAAAGATGTAATAGTGATATACACTCAGGAATCTTAACAAGTAAAGAATATTTTTAATCTCCCAATTTTAGTGCTTTAGAAAGATGTAGCAATGCAGTAGTGACTTTGGCCTCAGGAATCTCAACAAGGAAGGATTATTTTTTAATTCCCCAAATTTAGTGCTTTAGAAAACTTATCAAATCAGTGCAATAGTGATTGGGACTGTGGTATGGCAAGGATTATTTTTACTCTCCCAATCTTAGTGCTTTAAAAAGATGTAATCATGATAAACACTCAGGAATCTTAACAAGGAAGAAATATGTTCAATCTCCCAATCTTAGTGCTTTAGAAAGACATATCAATACAATAGGGATTTTGACCTCAGAAATCTCAAAAAGGAATGATTATTTTTAATCTCCCAAATTTAGTGCTTTAAAAAGATGTATCAAATCAATGCAATAGTGATGTGGACTGAGGTATGGCAAAGATTATTTTTAATCTCCTAATTTTAGTGCTATAGAAATGTCTCTCAGCAGGTCTTGGTTGGTCTGTGAAGTTTTGTTTCATCATAGACACATCTGAAGAAACTGAAACTTAAGAAATGAAGCCAGGTAAAAGGTTAAATTTCTTAATGTGAGGAGTGTGCCGCACCTACGCTTCGGGATACATGTCATAAGGTTAGTTGGAAGTTGGAACTTCCAACTAATATAGAGAAAACTAAGTCACAATGTGGAAAAGTAATTGGATACAATCATTTACGCCCCTGTGGCCCGAACCGGAAGTCACCCCCCCCTCCCTTTTCCTTTTTCCCCCCTCTCCTTCTTCCCTTCTTGCCCACTCTTTTCTTTTCCTCCTTTCTATAGCGAGCACATTGTTCCCCCATTTTCACTGTAATCTCTTGAAAATGCTGAAAATAAATATTTAAAAAGGGGATACATGTCATAAGGCTGCAACATCTAAAATAATCTGATTTATGACATTTTCTGATACAAACACACATGCCCAATATACATTATATAATAATAATAATAATAATAATAATAATAATAATAATAATATATAAACATTTATTGGAGCTCCACAGGAAACTTTTGCTTCAAAAAGGGCTTCATACCAGAAAAAGTTTGCGAATCCCTGGCCTATCTCATCTGAGCCACTTGGAAGGGAAGGATATAAATGCAATAAATAATATCTTTTGCTTCTCTTTTTCACCTATTCAATTATATTACATAATATATTGTGTAAGAAAATCACCTTGATCATATTCTTCAGGGGTGTATGTCCTTCTGAAATCTTATGCACAAAAAGTGTCTCCAGAAGACATCGGACATAATGTAAACAATGACAAGCACAGGCCAAACTGCAGAAATGACAATTAAAAAGAAGCAAGATGAAAGAAACACCCCAATCTTTGATACAATTACATTCAATGTTTAGGTACTGTAAGATGCCTTGGCTGTAATAGCAATCCAAACTGTGACTTCTGTAGAGTGGATGAAGTGAGCACAAGTCAGAACTCTCTTCTCTAAGCTATTTTCTAGATATCTATTGACAGAACAGTCTATTGGCAGAACTGTTCTTCTGGATAAGGTCTGCCAGTAGAACAGCTGGTGAGGATGAGACAGGGCAGAGAAGGGATGAGATGATAGAACTGTTCAGTTGTACCCGTTCCAAATCTTTTCCAGTCACAATGCTGGCATAAAATTCAACCAGGGAGAGGATAGTCCTAAATAATTTCCAGCATATGTAGACAGGAAGGGGTTTGAATTCAGCCCAGCTTCAGCTGTCTAATGGCCATTAGCCATTTCTGGTTAGTTAGAATTCTATTTTGAGATATATCTCATCAATGAATTCATCAGTTAACTATAGGCAAGCTGTATATAGCCTGCAAATTTAGAATTAGTATTGTACAGCATCATTTAACTAAGGTAAATGTGAAATGTATTGAATACTAAAACATTTTTGTCTTGTTTGAAGCAATTTTGTCTAAAGTAAATAAAATAACTTGTCAATGTTTTCTTAAGTTCTTTTTCTTTTTCAGGGAAATGTACTATACCAACAATTACTTGAAATTAGAATGTTCATACTTAAGATGAAGACTAGGAGCCTCCTTATTTATAAATTCTCATTGGAAACATTTTGTGCTATGTTAATAAGATAAAAGGTTATGTTTACATATTATTATATCAGGAAACAATTAAAATATTGTAGCAGAGCTCTGATACATTTTAATGTTGTAAATCTCAGACTGATTTTTATCAACTTGTGATCCTTAGATGTACAGTGAATTGTATTGAACACCAGTTTTGAACAATAAATTGACCTGATTACAACTGCAATTCAACATCTACTCCATGTAATGTAAATTTCTGCATGTGCAGATATACGTACTATGCAAGTGCTATGCAAGTCTCATGAAAAATATTAACATTGTGCAATACTGGTACATGAGTAGGAGCTATTGTGCAATGTTGTGCACAGCCACACAACATAAGATGGATGGCAGCAATGCACAGAATAAGATGGGTGACCACAATGAAAATAGAAGATTGCACAACCATGGTGATTACACTAGTATAAGATGGACAACCATAATGGAGAATATAGGATGCATAACTACAGTGTAGAGTATAGATACAATACAGAATATACAACCACAATACACAATATGTATATGCGATATGCAATGCATAACTGCAACATGCAATGTACTATGCACCAATGCATTTTCCAAAGACAAGGCACAAAGGAACATTCTTTCTGCATACCTCTACTTCCACCATTATTAACAGAATATCGCTGTTGGTGACTTTTTTGTCTTACGCATGACAAGTGTTCCTCACGGGATGCCCGCCATTATATAATAAAACTGTTGTGGCAAACAATTGTCAAGATTGCTTTTCAGGATCCTGATTCCCTACATGTTCTGGGGTGACAGGATAGCGGTGTCCCCACTATTTAAAAATCCAGTCCCTTCTTTTCAAGAGACACAGAATGTGTGTAGTAGCCGCATTGTAAATATGATACATGCTGCTCCAAATCTGTATACACACACTGTAAATCTCAGACTGATTTTTATCAACTTGTAATCCTTAGACGTACAGTGAATTGTATTAGACATCAGTTTTGAACAATAAATTGACATGATTACAACTGCAATTCAACATCTTACAGTGTGTGTATATATACACATACACACACATATACACATATACTAGGCTTGGGTAACCACGGAAAAATTTGGTTCTAAACTCGTTTTGTTTTTAGGGGGCCCTTGCATTTCGTTTTTTTAAATAATTCCGAAATTTTCCTTTTAAAAATTTCGAAATATACGAAATTTCGTATAATTACGAATTGATTCGTTAATGGCGGACGCGATGGCGCAATATGCTAAAAAAACCTCCAAATGGGACAGGGGGAACTTTTGAAGCTTCCCTCTCCCTCTGTTGTTGACTGTTGGTGTGATAAAACAAACGACAACTATAAAACTTGCACCAGACATGCAAAACTAATTACGAAATAATTACAAAATAATTACGAAATAAATTGAAAAAATTGTTTCGAATCTAATTTACTCCTCACACTATTCCTGCATGGCTCAATATTGGATCGTAAGCTAATTTAAATACGAATTAATAACGAATTACGAAATTAACGAACGAAACCGCCCAAGCCTAACATATACATAATGACAATATTCCAAAGAAGGTGAAACATATGTTCTCTCTTTTGCGAATCATTTCGGCATACTCCAATAGAATGGCTAACATATGCTGAAGAAATCCTTCATCCAGAAAGGTCATGTAAGTGAAACTATAAGTATTTTTAGATGCAGGAGCTCTTTCTGCCAGCCCTCACAGCCATTAATTTAATAATTAATCACCTGTTTTCAAATGACTGCATTAGTTCAAAATGATTCTCTGGACCAACTAGAAGATCTTTAGCTCAACTAAAGCAAATTAGTAAAGATTTCTGACTCCAGTTATTCCCCAATAACCTTCAATAGCTTACCCCCCCCCCACCCTTTAACTATGGATTTAAAAGTGGATTTTTGTGCAGACGGAGGGTTTATTTGTTTTTGTAATGGTTGCCAAAACATGACCAGGCTCAGAATTTTACACTCCTAAGTGCTAGGCCTGGGTAACAACGGAAAAATTTGTTTCTAAAATCGATTCGTTTTTTGGGGGGTTTTGCGTTTCGTTATTTAAAATAATTACAAAATTTTCCTTTAAAAAAGTTCGATATTTACGAAATTTCGTAAATGTGGAAAAAATTACAAAACAATAACGAATCGATTTCCGAAACAATGAATCGATTCGTTAATGGCGGACGCGACCGCGCAATACGCTAAAAAACCTCCAAATGGGACAGGGGGAACTTCTGAAGCTTAATTAAACCAAAAACAACTATAAAAACCCTTAGAAAACCAAAAACAACTATAAAACTTGCCCCAGACATGCGGAAATAATAACGAAACGACCTCAAAACGATAACGAAACGAATACAATAACGAAATACAAAACATTTACGAAATGATTTAAAAATTCGTTTTTTTAAAAAATTGCTCCAGACTGGTTTGTTATCGTTTTGTAATTGAAAAATTAACGAATTTTTTAACGAATTACGAATTAACGAAACGAAACCGCCCAGCCCTACTAAGTGCATGTGTTTTGTACTCTTTTTAATGGATTTCTGAATTCTAAAAGGGAAAAAATCAGAGTATATTCCACAATTCCAAAGTCTTCCCACAGCTAGCATATGTTGCACTGTAAATGAATCAAAGAACTGACTGAAATGAATTGCATTGTGCCCAGGTCTTATAAGTGATCTCTAATGACATAAAACATAGCAAGTAAATATAATGATAGTGATAGGTCTTTATGACTCACACTTGACTTTTGTTCTTTCAGACCTGGCTTCATGAGCTAAAAGCTATGGAGCAAAGAATACAATGTATTTGAATCTCAGATGCAGTAGAAAAAAACACATCAAATTTCTTTACTGCTGAGTCATATTGTATTTTGGCACCTATTTCCTTTGCCTTTATAATCTTCTGTTAGCCACAGCTCTATTTCCCACTGTCCACTTGTTCTTGGTGTAATAGTCAATTGCAATACAAATGTCAATTCCAAATAGTTTTAACCACAAATTGTTTTAGCTGCAATAGAAATAAAAAGTGGCAGGCTGGATCTGTTTGAAAAGAATCAAACTATTTGAATTTTAAAAAAAGTTACAACACCAAGAGTCATGATGAACCAACTGTTTCATCTAAACCAACCTCCATTTCACTTGTACATACATGTCCCTTTGAGCTTGACTTTGTGTTCATAATTATGGAAAGAGAGATATTTTAGCAAAAAGCAGAGTTTTTCTGCAAAGTGGCTCTTCTTGTAGTGTGTTTAGAATGGCATGATAACTCACAATTATGGGAAAGGATGGATACTAGGCATGCCCAATTAAAAAAAAATGATTTTAAGCTGTGTTCAAAAGTAGGGGCACTGGTGCTTCATTTCTAAAGTCCTTTCCAAATTTTGAGTTGTAAAAATTTTCAAAACTTTACAAAACTTCAGAATCTTCATAATATTGGTGGTCATGCACAAGCATTAAGGAAAACATTGTTGTCAGTGGGGAAACTTGAGGGGCTTCTCTCTCCCTCATTCTTTGAGGTATCCTAATGAAACCTGCTACAGTGGTAGAACACATTTGCCACTGTTAGCTCACCAAATATCAGAATATTTGACTTATCCATGGATCTTTGGCAAATTTTCAAAGTTTTTATTAAAAAACATTTTAATAATTAAAAAAATTGTTTCTGGTTTGAAAGGCACAATCCAAACTCTCCAGAACTCCAATTAATATGCTTCCAATTAATATGCAACCAATTCACTACAATTTAGCAAAGATTTATACTATTACTTCCTTACTTTAGCCCTCTTTGCAGATTCCATGGTTTTATTTATTATAGACTGACTAAACACCATAGCTTGCTACCCAATGCATTCTGGAAAATGTAGTTTTGTGTAGGCATATGACTTAAATAAAATTACTATAAATTGAGCTCCTATCTTCGTCATTTTTTAAAGCTATTGAGGCGAAACTTGTTATAGTGGTAGAACACATTTTCTACTCTTTGCCTATCAAGTTTCATAATGTTTAACTCATCCACAGCATTTTTGGGAATTTTCAAAGTTTTTTAAAACAACATTTTTCAGCAATCTCTGCCTCTCCCTCCCTCCTCCATCAGCCCTGATTGGCTGGAGAGGCATGCCAACATATTTGGCTTCGCCTCTCAGCAGGGCTTGGTTGCCCTGTGAATTTTAGCTCAGTCACAGCTACATCCGAACATCTGAGACTTAAGAATCAAAGGCTCCTTTTGATTCAAATTCTTAATATTGGAAGAGCAGCAAGCAGGCATGTTGGAACTCGCTTCAAAAGTGCTAAATATCTGAACTAGATCTGAACCAAGGGTATTTCTGCATCAAATTATGTATTTACATAAGCCTAACGAATACATTGTCACTAACAATGACCTCACAGAAGAAGAAACCATGCAGAAGTATACTTGCAGAAAGTAGTAGTTTGCCAGCATCCATTAAAATCCCAGCCATTGTGTGACAATCACATTAGGTTTAAGAGACCAAACACATCACTTAACTCTATCTTGCAAAATGGAGATTGCAGGTTACATCTCAGAACCTACCATACATTATATTTATTTCCAGAGGCCCTGGTGTAATGGTGTAGTCAAGCGTAGAGTGATGCATTGTATAACCCAAGTCACACATTTGGTTTCGTTCTGCTTGAAATCAGAAATAATACACAAAATAGCCAGCATGCAACCATTTTACTCACTGAACAACAGGATGCCGTAAACTTCTTGCACTCTCCTTTGCATCATAAATACTTGAGAGACGAAGATAGAAGAGCAGATATATAAGAAGAGGACCAATATATTCAGTTAGGAAAACCTGGAGGAAGAAGCAAAATAATAATAATAATTTAGAAACACAAATATTATATTCCTTATTAGCCTTAAAAATAATCAGAGCAAAAGACTCAGATATACAAAATTTGTAATTAAGAATCTTTTTTTAAAAGTTCACTTACTGTCACAAGTATATAATCCTGGTTATTAGTTCCAATTACTGAAGAAATCAATAGCACTTATGTAGATATAAGGGGTATGCAAATCTTCATTAGTAATTAGTTTGTTGTATCTATTTCTTTCTTTTTTAATATAATGTTTATTGAGAAGTTTTCCTTTCAAAATACAATTTAATAAAATAGAAATAACAAAAGGGAAAAGGAAAGAAAAGGAAAGGAAAGAAATATATATATAAAGGAGCAGAGAAAGACAAAAGGAAAAGAGCAAAGAAAAGAAACATTGAAAAAGAAAAAAAAAGAAAAAAAAGAGAATAGTTAAAAAAAGACCAGGAGAAAGTTGGTATACATCTCCTTCATTGACTTCCTGTGTATCTTCTGAGTGGATTTTCCTCTTCTTTCTTCCATCTTTATTCTTCTTCCCTTCTGTTTTCTCTTCCTTTTATATTACTATGTTTCCATTCTTCTGTTTCAAATAATTTGTCACTCTTGTCCAGTCAGTTTCTCTTATTGGGGTCCCTTTGTTTTTTGATATCAAATATGTTAGCCTATCTATGTTTCTAATATCTACTATTTTTTCTATCCAATCCCTGATTTCTGGGATTTCTTCCTTCTTCCATAATTTTGCATAGCAGTATTCAATAGAAAAAGGAGCTTATCCATATTTTTATCTAACTTTTGGTCTGTTATCCCTAATAAGAATATCTCTGGTTTGAATGGTATTCTTGTATGTAATATTTCCTGTAATGTTTTGTGGATGTTTCTCCAATATATTTTAGATTTTGTGCACGACCACTGTTCTGTTGCCGCTGGGCCTGTATTTGGTTGGCTTTAAATAGGATGTGTAACCTTTGCCCAGCGGGAAGCCAGGTACCTAAGAAGAAGTTCTCAGAGGTTTCCACTACAAAAGAATCTTCATATGGCTTGAAAAATACAACAAAGTCTTTTATTAATGAATCAAACAGGTATTTCAATGCTTTCTTGATAAAGTATTAGTTCTCTCAATCTTGCCCACAGGGGACAGGCACTATCTTCAATAACTTTCTCTAAGGGGAAATTCCCCTTTTTAAACTTCTCCCAAGGCTGACTAAAATCCAACCCTCACTACCAGCAAGGCAATGGATGTTCTCCAGCTGGAGTTTGTTAGACCTTAAGGCTGTCTTCCTGGAAACTCTCAAGGCTGTGGAAGGCTTCCCTGGAGTTCTTAGGAGACTCTTAAAGCTGTTCTCCCCTGGAAATTCTTTCCCTGGAGATTCTGTTAGAGTTTCTGTGACCCTGGAATTCTTAAAGTTTGAAGCCTTTGTACAGGGGAAGCAACACACATCCTATACATTGGTTAACCTGGCTGAAACTAAACTCAAAATGGCCCACTTCCCTACCAAAGCCCAAAAAGGGGGCGGGACTAGGGAACCTAAGGATAATTGACAAGCAATTGACCCAATAACTGCAAAATAAGGAGAGCCATCAAACTGCAAAGGCATATAACTTCAAAATGCATGCAGCATCAAACAGATAGCAAGATAAGCTGGAACTCCTGGTGCGGCTGTACCAAAACAACCACCACATGTGGAAATATGATCCCTCAATCTTTCCACATTTCCAACATTTTATATTTATAGCATTATATTTATAGCATTTTCCAAGTTTTTGAGGGGTGCCCATGTAAAAAAAATTACAAATCAACCCAATACTTTTCATATAAAGTCACTAAACCTTGGAAGCCTCCCAAGGACAGTTTCATTTTTAGTGCAAGCAATTGAGGCAAAACCAAAAAGGCTGCCATTCCACTTTAAATGAGTTGAATGAGCTGGGAAGGAGACTGAAAGAACATAGAATTGAAGGGAAAGGTCAGGATTGAATGCTTCTGGACCATGGCCATACAGCCCAGAAAACTCACAGCAACCCAGTAATTCCAGCCATGAAAGCTTTCAACAACACATTGAACATCTCTACAGGGAAAAACTGTTCCAAGACACACAGAGATTGGAAAAACTAAGAACCAGGAAAGCACATCTTCTGTGCTCCCTGGTGTTCCTTCTAGCTGCAGAGACACCAACTCTATCCCACAATTTCTCGCAACCAAAAGGGCTTTCAAAAGTGGTAACAGGCTCATCATATTTACAACCGCCTGGAATGCAACCTCTTAAGAGACAGAATTCATACCATCTGCAAAGAACTCACAAACACACACAAGGAGTTGTTGCGCCCCCATATCAACACTAGCTAAAAGATGAATACCCAAGACTGGTATAAAATAGACAACCTCACTTACAAAAAATGGAGAAAGACATGTCTCCCCACACCAAAAGACCAAAACAAAAATTTGACAAATGCCAAAAGCAAGAGCTGAAACCAGAACTAGATGCGTCACAGACCATCATCAACCTGACAGACAGACAACTCTCAGAAGACCAAGCATCCATACTAACAAAGGGAGGCAATTTTGCTGTTACCACCACCAGGATCCCAGTAGAAAGCATCATTGCCAATGTTGAATCAGCAATTTACCACCTCCCTGAGGAAGAAGCAGTGGAAATAAGAGGGAAAATGGCGAACATCCTGAGAAAGGCAAAACTTCCCCCCAGCAACATACAAGGAAAGAAAGCCAAGCCATCAAAGACCTCAACTCTGATCCAGAAATCGTCATTCTCCCAGCAGACAAGGGGAATGCCACAATAATCATGGAAATAGAACAATACAAAGAAAAGACAACTCCTGGATCCCACAACATACAAAAAACTACAACTAAAACAAGACTCAACAACAAAATCACTAGTGGTTCTCAACCTGGGGTCCCCAGATGTTTTTGGCGTACAACTCCCAGAAATCCTAGCCAGTTTACCAGCTGTTAGAGTTTCTGGGAATTGAAGGCCAAAAACATCTAGGGGGCCCATGTTGAGAACCACTGCAGTAGAAAAACCAACACCATGATCAAGAACTCCTCAATTAACCTTGACATACACCAACTGTGCAAATCAGAAGCCCTCCTTCCTAGGCTTTATGGATTCCCAAAAATCTATAAGGACTCCATCCCACTCAGACCCAGTGTGAGTGCCACTGGATCCCCCACATATGATTTGGTAACATTTCTGGCTGCCAGCTACAAACACTATATCAAGGACTCAGCCCACTTCATAAGAAAAATCAGCAACCTCAAGCTTAACACCAAGGACAAACTGATCAGCTTCGATGTGGTGTATCTATTTAACAAGGTCCTGGTAGCAGACACCATCACACTAATCAACCAGAATTTCCCAGAAGACATCACAGCCCTGTTTCACCATTGCTTCACTACAAGCTACTTCTAGTAGGACAATGCATTCTATAAACAGAAAGATGAAGCAGCCATGGGGAGTCCTCTAAGCATGGTCATAGCAAATTTCTACATGGAACACTTTGAAAAACAATCCCTGGAAACAGCAACAAAAAGTCCACTATATGGTTCAGATATGTGCATGACACCTTCACCATTTGGAGCCATGGAAAGGAAAAACTAAACAAGTTCCTGGACCACCTCAACAGCATCCATACAAACATTCAATTCACCATGGAAAAAGAAAATGAAGGAAAACTGTCATTTCTAGATGTCCTAGTCATCTGTAAACTCAATCAACAATTGGGTCACACAGTTTACAGAAAACCTACAGACACAGATAGATACTACATAAAAATTCCAACCATCACCCAAGTAAAAAAAAGAAGCACAATTAAAGCCCTGGCAGACCATGCAAAATAATCTGCGAACCCCACTTCCTCCAGGGTGAACTGAACCACCTAAACTGGGTTCTATAGGCCAATGGATACTCCACCACAGACATCAGAAGAGCTGCAAGACCAAGAACAAGCCATGAGAGTAAAGACAAAGATCCACCCAGAGGAAAAGTGTTCTTACCATACATCATAGGAGAACCACTGACCTTATAGGAAAGCTGATAGAGAAACACAACGTACAAATGATCTACAGACCCACTAAGAAAATCCAATCAATGCTACATTCAGCAAAGGACAAGAGGGATCCTCTCATCTCTGCAGGGATCTACTGTATGGACAAGACTACATAGGGACCACCAAATGCAGCTCCCAAAGACAAATGAACATGAATTAAATTAAATTCATTATAGATGACCAATTTAAAGTTGTAAATAATAATAAAAAGTCAAGATCAAAAGAACAAATAAATGAAAGATGAAGAATGGGCCATCTGAATGATTTAATCAGAATCTCTCTGACAACTCAGAAATCAGGATGGTTATTTTAATGTACCCAGTAAATGCTTATTCATCGCTATCATTGTAAGGTGAATCCTTCAGACAGATGATCTAAGCAGATGAAGCTTATAACTAAAGATTATCTCTGGTATTCATGGAACTGGAAATTAAGGAAAACATTCCATCCCTCCTTCTTTCTTTCTGCCACAAATAAACTGATGACATACAGAAGCATACTAAGCATTCAGTACATTTTGTATCAGTTCTGTCTGGACTCTTTTGTGAATACCTATCATGATCTGATTTATTGGTCAGGAAACTAAATCCAGAGCTTTAGATAATATACAGCACAGCTGTTTTGCTAATAGTTTCTCCAGACTTTTTAAATGTACTTCTCTTCCCCTTTAGCCAATGTTAAAATCATGTTTCAATTGTTTTCCATTCTTGCCACCAGAATAATTTAGCTAAATGCTGTCCAATGCCAAATTTTGGAATATTTAGTCCGTCTTTATACAATGAATGAATATAAAAGAAAGGGAGCCACCAAAGATGCATAAATCAGTTTGGATGGATATGTCCTGAAAGGTCTGTGGGACAGTCTGGGTATCTTTTGTGAACGTAACACAGACAACAATTTTGGATTATACCTGTAGATCTTATCAGAATACCAATATAAAGGGGTTAATCTCCAAGGGAGAAAGGGACACTGAAGCAATAAAGGGCAACTGCTCTCCTGTGGCTTGAGCTTCTCCTTCTATGGAGGTAACCGAGGCATCTGTTGGTCCGATCTTGTGGGATTCTTTCCAGCTTGTTCGTCCTGATGAAATGGATGGAGTCATGGGGGCTGTGAGAGCAACCACATCGGCTCTGGACCCTTGTCCTTCCTGGCTAATCAAAGCGGCCAGAGGTGGGTTATGATATTGGTTTGTGCCGATTATTAATGCATCATTGGCTCAGGGGAAATTTCCATCTGGTTTGAAACAGGCAGTGAAGACCTGTCCTGAAGAAGACCTCCCTTGATCCAACAGTTTTGAATAACTACAGGCCAATCTCTAACCTTCCCTTTTTGGGCAAGGTGCTGGAGCTGGTGGTCGCCTTGCAGCTCCAGAGATTCCTAGAGGACACTGATTTTCTAGATAAATCACAGTCTGAGTTTAGGCCTGGTCACGGTACCGAGATGGCTTTGGTCGCCTTAGTGGATGATCTCCACAGAGAACTGGACAGGGGGAGTGTGACCCTGCTGGTACTTTTGGACATCTCAATCGCTTTCGATACCATCGACCATGGTATCCTTCTGGGCTGGCTCTCCGGGATGGGTCTCAAAGGCATGGCTCTGTCATGGCTCCTGGAGGGTCTTTCCCAGATGGTGAAGCTGGGGGACACCTGCTCAGACCCCTGACCCTTGACCTGTGGGGTCCCGCAAGGTTCCATTCTGTCCCCTATGCTTTTTAACATCTACTTGAAACTGCTGGGAGAGGTCATCCGGAGTTTTGGAATTTGATGCCATTTCTATGCAGATGATGCCCAACTCTACTACTCCTTTCCACCTAATTCCAAGGAAGCCCCTCGGGTGCTGGACGAATGCCTGACCGCTGTGACTGTTTGGATGAGGACGAATAAGCTGAGGATCAATCCTGACAAGACAGAGGTCCTCCAGGTCAATCATAGGCCGGATTGAGGTATAGGGTAGCAACCTGTGCTTGATGGGGTTGCACTCCCCCTGAAGTCACAGGTCCGCAGCTTGGGTGTCCTCCTAGATTCAGCGCTAACGCTTGAAGCTCAGGCATCAGCGGTGGCTGGGAGGGCCTTCACACAATTGAAGCTCATGTGCCAGCTTTGACCGTACCTCATGAAATTGGATTTGGCCATGGTGGTCCATGCCTTGGTTACCTCTAGATTGGACTATTGCAATGCACTGTATGTGGGGTTGTCCTTAAAAACGGCCTGGAAATTCCTTGTCCAACAATCAGCAGCCAGATTACTAACTGGTGTGAATTGCAGAGAGTGGTCAACCCTCCTGTTTAAGGAGCTCCATTGGCTGCCATTTATTTTCTGGTCCCAATTCAAGGTGCAGGTCCTTACCTACAAAGCCCTGAACAGTTTGGGACCCACCTACCTGCACAACCACATTTCGTTCTACGAACCCATATGATCTCTTTGGTCTTCAGCAGAGGCCCTCCTCTCGCTCCTGCCTCCATCGCAAACGCGACTGGTAGGGATGAAGGAGAGGGCCTTCTCTGTAGTGGCCCCTTGGCTCTGGAATTTGCTCCCCAGAGATATTAGGCAAGCCCCCATTCTGGCAATCTTCAGAAGAGCCTGAAAACTTGACGATTCCAATGTGCCTTCAATGATTGATTACATGATAATCTCTGACCAAACTCTGCATAAAATGCCCTCAGAAGCACTTTATTCTCTTGTTGTGCAATTAAATCCTACCCCATTCCCCGGGGCCTCTCCCTGATATTTTACACTGTCCTATCTCCCAGTGTTTTAAAATTTTAATCCTTGAATTTGGCCCTGCCCATGATGATTATTTTTAATTTCATAATGAAATGCCATAATGTTTTGACTTTTTATTGTGTCCCTTATATACGTTGTCTTGTATTTTAGGTTATTTTATTATTATTATTATTATTTTGTTGTGTTTTTGTGATATATTGTGTACATTGTATTGATGGGTGTGGCCTCATGTAAGCTGCCCCGAGTCCCCTTAGGGATATGGTGGTGGGGTATAAATAAAGTCTTATTATTATTGTTGTTGTTATTATTATGGTGTGGAAAATATTTGTACTAATGGAACTGGCATGTGGAATTTGTTGATGGATTCATTTGGATCATGAATTGTAAGATCTTTTAATTTTTGAGATGATGATAGATAGATGATAGATAGATAGGTTTTGCCTCATCTAAGATATTGTTATACATTTCTTTGTTGTTTTCCTGATATAAATATTAGAGATTGAAAAAGTGATTGTTTTTGATTAGCTTACATTTGACATTCCATCACAATAGGTGTGACATTAATTATTCATTTTGCATTTGTTTCATATTGTATAGAGTTGGCATCAGCTATTATGGCTGCCACCATGCCAGCACAGCTGGTTTTAGGGTGAAAGCTAAAGTGAAATTTTATGTAGAGACAGATATGGATTCAGAGGTCTGAAAAACATATGAAAATCTCAGGAAAACAATAAACTCAGCACTTGTGAAATCTTCAGCCTTCAGGGGATTGCAAAATCTAAATCAATATTCAATTCAGTCCAAATGATCTCTAACAGTGTGCAATAAGGCTCAGCAGAGATGGGAGTTTATGTGGAAATTTAAAAGAAAGAGAAAGGAAAAACCAAGAGAACAAGAATCAGATTAAGCTAATACACAATGATTGAGATCCTTCTCTTCAAGGAGACAGAGCATAACGTTCTGCTAGTCAGAATACACCATCACTCCCCTTTCTCACCTCTCCTTTTCTGCATCCCCCTCAATGTGGCCATTTAGGGTTGGAGGAGTCTGAGGGAAGCTGACTATTAAAGCTGACGATTTTGGTAGCTAGATATATATTTATTTTGAGATCTCTGGAGAAGCCATAGGAAGACCTAGAAAAAGCCTGCATTGTGTGTCCAGTTAACAGAACATAGAATAACAATTCTTGATTGTTCCCCACTCTTTTCCAGCCACTACCTGGCCATATGGAGGGGAGGAGTATCAGGGGAGGGGGAGCAATTGTATGAACTAGGCATGAATTTCATCTTCTGAAGTGACCAAAAAACCATAAAATCATGGGCATAAGTTTAATTTAAACCTACACAACACTAACAGGAACCCAGTTGTCACGTGTTTGTGTGTTTCATCAATGTTGCACTTACAGTTGTCCAGCTCACTTGCTGACCCATGTCTGTGAAGTACAATGTAATGATAGAAGAAGCTGCAAGGCTCTTTATGTTGACAGAGTCTTTCAAATAGGGCCCATCTGTAAAAAAAAAAAAAAGCATAAGTAATTTGAAGTGAAGAGAGTGCCTGTTCTACTTCTGTATTATACATGCTTGGCAGTATGAAACTGTTGAGTGATCGTTTCTTGCAACATGGTCAGTGTAGAGAGAAACCCCCAACCTTGCTTGAAGACTTTAACAGAATCAGGGATCATTGAGCGTTCTTCATAATACAGGAAGTCCCTGACTTACAAACATCTGACCTACAAATGACTCATAGTTAAGAATAGGAGTGAGAGAACAGAAAGTGAGAGAAATCTATACCTAGGAAGGAAATTCCCTGCTGAAAGATTTATCATGAGGGAAAAGTGCCTCAACAAAAGCTTTAACACTGAACTTTGTTTCCACAACAAGCCAACTTTTTTTCAAAATCCTTACCACAGGGACAGAATGTAAAGTGAAATCTTCTAAACAGGAGCAGAGACAGAAAACAAACACCTCAGGGGTGCTGAACCTTATGCTATCTAAAGTGTGTGTGTGTGTGTGTGGATGTGTGATGCTTAAAAATGGTTCAAAAGTCATTACAAAACTGGGAGCGCTGGCATTTTGTTCCTAAAGTGTTTCTAAAGTATATTTAGTGAAACATTTGTTACTATAATGAGAGTAACAACATTTTGTTACTTTTTCATTATAGTAATTTCGTATAATTAAATTATTATAATTGGGAAACTTCAGGGCTCCTTTCTCCCTCATTTTTAAATCTATTGGGGTGAAACTTGTTACAATGATAGACCACATTTACCATTGTTAGCCCATCAAATTTCAGAACATCAACTAATTTTAGGGAATTTTTTTGAATATTTTACAGACAATATTTTTTTAAAAACTGCAAGAGCTATCTATTTCAATTGTATATACAGTGAACAAGAAAGATAACTAGGGCATCAATCCCGGAAGTTTCAGAAAGATTCACACATCTATAGATTTTTGGGGATTTTTAAAAGTTTAGGGAAAAAATATCAATTGCCTTAAATGAAGAAGAACTTTATTTTTATACCCCGCCTTCATCTCCCCAAAGGGACTCGGGGTGGCTTACATGGGGCCAAGTCCAAACATATTCGGTTAAAAGCATAGCAATTAAAATATTAAAACAACATGAAAACGATATTATAACAATAGTAAGACAAGCATCATAAGCAACAACCAGAAATACTTCAAGTCAATGGGTGGGTGGGTGGGGGCTGGTGTGCCAGCAAGTTAGAAAATAGGCTGGTCAATAAGGTGCATAGATCATATAGTAACATAGATCATATAGCAATATTGAGCCATGCAGGACTACTGTGAGGAGTAATTAAAAATCGAAACATTTTTTCCAATTTATTTCGTATTGTTTCGTAATTGTTTTATAGTTGTTTGTTTTATCAGTGATAAAAAATAAATTATCACACCAACAGTCAATAACAGAGGGAGAGGGAAGCTTCAGAGGTTCCCCCTGTCCCATTTGGAGGGTTTTTGAGCATATTGCGCAATTGCGTCCGCCATTAACGAATCAATTCGTAATTTTACGAAATTTCGTAAATTTCAAAATTTTTAAAAGGAAAATTTCGGAATTCTTTAAAAAAACGAAATGCAATGGACCCCTAAAAACGAAACGAGTTTAGAAACAAATTTTTCCGTTGTTACCCAAGCCTAATAGCAACGTATAAATAGAGTACCTGTCTGTCTACAGCTGTGTGTCTATGACACACAAACACATAACTTCAACTTAGCACAGATTTATACTATTACTTACTTTAGTCTTCTTTGCAGATTCAGTAATTTTATTTATCATTATACTGACTCTAAATGGCTGGTGCCATTGGGGCTTTCTGATGCTGAGCACTGCATTCTGGGAAATGTAGTTTAGGCCAGGGCCTTTTGCATTCTCTGCCACAGAGGGCCTCACCTTCCCAAACCACATTTCTAAGAATGCTGTGTTCTCAGTCTCCTGCCCACCTTTTCTACTCCCACCCCAGTGCCTTTCTTATGGCAAATGGGACAAAAAAAAATCAGAACTGGTTTTTAAAACACTTTATGTTCCCTTAGCTTTACCAAAGTCACTTAATGCTTATACTGAAAATTAAACTGACCTTGGGAGGCATCTGAATATTACAGAATCTTAACAAAAATAATAGGTGAGTGTTTCGATTTTTGAATCCCCCCACCTTTCCTGCATATTTCTAATATTGATTCGTATGCATGAATTTAACAAATTTAACACATTTACACACACATATAAAAAAGTCCTGTGTAATACATGAAAAATTGTTTCAATACTCATTACTATCGATAAAAACATCAATTCATCCGGGTGTCCCCTGGGCAACGTCCTTGCAGATGGCCAATTCTCTCACACCAGAAGCAACTTGCAGTTTCTCAAGTCACTCCTGACACAACAAAAAAAAAACTATCGTAAACCCGGGGCCGAAGACTGGAGACCTCGGTACACTCTTTCTATACCTGGGACATCGCCCTCTTCCACCGAGTGCGCAGTTTCGGGAGGGACGCACATGGAGCGGTGAGGGAGGAAGGGGACACCCGCCTAGCCAACCAGATCAGCCAAATCAACCCTGGCGATCAATTGGGGGACAGATGTCACAGCCAGATCGCCCTCACATCCAATACTCATTACTAAATTGGGTGGGGTGTGTGTGCATGCAAAGAATTGTTTCTAAAGTGTTTCTAAAATATTGTTAGGGATCTGTATTGTAACTATAATGATATAACAAATTCTTAATTACTTTTCATTAAGTAATGGTGCAAGGAGGGAGCCCAACCCCCTTTATTCTGCCAGGCAGGATCAAACCAACCCAACAGATGCCCATCCAGCCTTTGAAATAATAATAACAACAGCAATAAGAAAAAGCCTACTAGGTAAATTTTGGTGTCACTGGCTCTCAACTTTGCCTACCTCACAGGGTTGATTCCACTCCCAATCATCCTTTTCCATCTTGGAATCCCTTTAGAGAATGAACATGGAGGAGGCAGCAGGGCACGAGGCAGTAAGCAGAATTCTGGGAAATGAAGTTTGGGAAGGTGAGGACACCTGTGGCAGAAAATTCAAAATTTCCCAGAATTCAGCTTACTTCCCATGTTAAAGCGCTTGGGTTTTCCCTCTCCAAGTTGGAGAAGTTACTTTTTAAACAGAGGTGCTGCATTGCCTCCAGATCAGCAGGGCATGGGTTTTCCCTCTCCAAGTTGGAGAAGTTACTTTTAAAATGAAGCTACTGCATTGACTCCAGATCAGCAGTGCCAGAGAATTGTAAAGGCCCTGCCCTAAGCTAAATTTCCCAGAATTTTGCTCACTTCTCACAGTAAAGCCTCAATGTGGGTGTGATCTCTGCCTCTCTCTCTGGGTCATCCACGTGCAGAGGGCCCCTCAGCTCTCCTTGCTGCCTTCTTTGAAGAAAAAACAGAGCTTCTTCCTTTACTCCAGCCTCGCCATCCTTCTCAGGGCTTTTTGGCAGAACCAAGCCCTGCCCTTTTGGAGGAGAAGCAGGACCCACAATGGAGACCTGGAGCTTCCTCCAAGGTAATGTGGCCAGCATGAATTCATGGAGCACTGGTACCTTCCCGCAGAAGCAGTACCAATTGGTCTACTCATATTTGCATGTTTTTAACTGCTAGGTTGGCAGAAGCTGGGGCTAATAGCAGGAGCTCACGCTGCTCCCTGGATTCAGCAAGTTTAGCAGCTCAGTGGTTTAACCACTGTGCCACCAGGGGGATATATCTGGAGTTACACTTTAAAATGTACCTGTTCTGACTTACATACAAATCCAACTTAAGAACAAACCTATAGAACCTATCTTGTTTGTAACCTGGTGACTGCCTGTACATTCATCACTATTGAAACTTCAGAAGAAACACTCTAAAATGATTTCAAGGAGAATATAACACTATGGTGTCAATAGCTGGGCCGCTTCTAGACTTCACACTTGGCCATCTGACAATGAAGGCTGTTGATGACCAGACATCCCAAAAAGAAGTTAGAAATACAAGAAGTGTTTCTAAAGGATCTGCACAGGCCACATGATAACTTTTTAAACAAACATCTCAGTATATCCTCAAAGCTCCTGGACTTCCAATTGATTTTTTGGCAGAGAAAATGTCCATGGAGAGCCTAATCAATAGAAAATTTCTTAAAATGTGTTCCTATCAGCCATGTCTTTCAGTATGTTTCCCAGTCGATCTTAGATTTTGAATAGGAAGATGTGGTCCTTCAAAATAGCCTGGAGTTGGACCATATAGGGAGAGTTTTAAAGCTCAAAATCAGAAGCAAGGCATCATTGCCAACACAAGGGGAGCAGACCAGTGAATGAAAAAGCCTCTTTGCAATAAGTATTTGTCACTGGATTTTGTCCAGCTTTTGTGGAGGATTTTAGGGGGCTCACATTGAAAGATCTAGCTACAGCAGTCAGGCTTCATTGACAATGTTACATCTTCTGATGGAGAATCCCATCTATTATATATTTTGCGGAAACACATCATTTTTGTACAGAAAATTTGTACAGAAAAATCTGCTTTGTGGAATGTTTTGTTTACCAAAAACGTTCCAAGAGGCAAAAACAAACACACAAAACACCAAAAAACCAAAACACATCAAGTAACCATTTTCAATAAGCTATTTTGACATGTTGAGGCCTTCTTTTTTTGCCAAGAACAAGAGAATATAAAATGGGAAACTGCATCCCAAATATCATGCCCTACTTCAGAGACCAGAAGACAAAAGTAGCTATTTAACAGGCCAGTACGCATGATTCTCATTTTTGCTTCTTGGTGAACACTATTGAGGGAAAGCATACACTAACATGTCCAGTGTTGCAAACTAAGTATATATATTTTCAGAGGCATTACTGAGCGTACTCTGGGATCGTTATAGAAGTTTCAGTCTCATGTATAAATAAAAACATGGAACCCTTCTTTCTTTTGGCAGGAAAATGAATACTTACTGCGTTCTAGTCGCAGGCCTACTCGAGATGGGGACCACTGGGGACCTGCTCATAAAGAATGGAAACATATAGCCAAAAATGAGAGTAAAATCCTGTTAATTTGACACAGTATGTTTTATTCATTGCAAGGTCTTAACAATGCACTAATGATGACAAAGAAGCAATGAGTTGGATCCAATCCATCAAACATTAATCACAGCTGTTGAGATGAATGAGATTTGACTTAACTTTATGTCCTACTGATTTCTCAGTATTTTTCTTATATGACTAATGATACAGTCTTAATTCAACGATGTGTTGGTTGTAGGACTGGAATTAAACTGTTTCCTCCTTTGTCAGCAAAACCCTCCAGAAGAGATCTTTTGATCTCTGATCTTCTGACATAAACTCTGATCTTCTGCTATAACTGTTCTGCCAGCTGGCATCTGGCACAATCTCTCTACTCTAGCTTACTTGATCTGGGTCAATATATTTAATTGTGCTATATATTTCCATCTAATATTGGGTTTAAATTTATTTTTGCTTCAAGAAAATATTCGTATTCTGAGGAACTGATGAACAACTTTACACTTTAAAGTGTTTCCTCAATCAAATTACATCAGTGATAAAATATTTGAAAAGTGTAGGCTGAACAATTATGTTGAGTATCCATGTCTTTGTTAATGCATACTAATTCAGAATATTATCTCAGATTCTCAGTTGTTTACTCAGCTTTACAGTTTGCAATATCCAATTTTTGTAATGTGGGGAATTTGAATAAGTTGTAATATAATTAGAAAGAACTTGTCTAGTGCCTTTCTATGGGTAGAGGATCAAAGACCATTGCTGAGATATCTTGGAGATGCTATACAAGTATAAATGAAATTTATTTATGTGTCACATATACCTTGTACACATAGCCTGAAGATAATTTGATACACAATATTTATAATAATTTTGTGCATTATGTGTGTATGTGCTGAACTCTCAGAAAGCAAAGGTGTCACTTTATCAGCCACCCATGTAGTCAATTTCAGATTTTGGTGTATTTTGGATTATGGAATTCTGGATAAGGGATGCTTAAGCTGTGCTTCAAGGTTTGTAGATATATGCATTTTACATTTTTTCTTTGAAAGTATTATATGTATGATCCTGTTACAACTTTTGCCTTTAATGAAGAGCAGGGGAGGGATTGAGGTTTTCTTTAGTTTGTAAAAAAACCCTCATATATTCAAGTAAGGAAAAGCAATAATTGTAGTTCAGCTTGTGGTTGTGTCTGACATCAATGGGGATGAGGGTTTTTCTGGGCATGAGTCAAGCCCAGGCCTTGCTGAGAGGCCTGAGGTTTCTCATGAACGGAGTGTTTCTCCTGTAGATTCCCAAGATCAAATTCCTGGGAGAGGCCCACAGCAGTCCTTCTATGAGAAACCGTCTTCTGAGGATGATTTGCCAGGTGCAAAATTTAATGAGTTAGAAGATAGAAACAAGGCTTTTGTAAACGAAGGCAAAGTTTTTTGAGATCGGCAAAGATCAGTCCTTCTGCTTGAAAAGAGAGATAAGAAATTCTTATATGGTTGTAAGCAGGCCCGTAGCCAGGATTTCATTTGGAGGGGGGGGGGCTGAATTTTTTTTGGGGGGGGGTTCGGGGGGGCTGAGTTTCGGGGGTCTGAGTGAAAGAGGGTCTAGCCTAGCAAACCTTTTGCATCATTACCCCAATACCCCCATGCATATGGGATATATTGAGTATGGTGATCAGATCATGATATGAATAAACATAACAGCTTAAATAATGCACCAGTAAGGCCTTTTCGCGAACCACCATGAGAATTTCGAGGGGGGGGGGCTGAAGCCCCTCGAGCCCCCCCCCCCCGGCTACATGCCTGGTTGTAAGGGAAAACGAAATGCTTTCCTTTCAGTTCATGGGACAGTAAAAGCTTTATATAATATGAAGAAAAGATTCTAGCTCAGTCTAGTCAACATTGGAGTTTCATGACAGTCTTGTCTCCAAGTGGATATCTAGTTTCATGTTTCAATTTTTTCCAAGTTCCTGTTCTAGGCATTGGCTCTCCATGCTGCCTTGTTCCTTTGGGTTTTGAATCTTTTGATCTTGTGTTTTTACCTCTGTACCCTGAAGTTAATGGAACATTTGTACTCTTTGGAAAATACTGTTTTGGACTATACTGTTTCTATCATTTTTATTGCTTTGCTTATATATATCCTTCAATATACTGCTTGCTGATTTTACAATACTGGTGTGGTGTTTAAGGACAGAGGTGTTCCTGCTCTGGGATATAACAATAACCCTCAAAAACACTGAAACTGCCAGAAGACTTGTAGTTAGGTAGCAGAACAAACTGGTTTCATCAATATCCAAAGTGCCAAGGGCTATTGGGCAGATTTACCACCTTTATGTCAGCAAGAAGAACCTAATGAATATGACCTCACCTTGCCGCTGTACATAAATAGCAGTGGACAATCCTTCCTTCCTTATTTCTTTCACACATTGTCTTATTTTGTGTCACATTTAGCACATTTTATCCTCTAATATTATGGTGCTCTATATTTTAATTGTTCCTTACATTGCCCTATAACTGTTGTGAGAGTTTGGGGAGACCAATTGTGGAAAGATGGATGGATTAATATTGCTACATTACAATGTTCAGTATTATTTATTCATACAATTTTGACCTTGGGAGGAAACTGAATTTCAACATCTTGCCCAAGAAAATGGGAGCAAGATATAAAAATGAAATTAGAACAATAGAGATCTTAGTACAAAATCTGTCCCAAGAGAAGAATATGTAACTCCTCCTGGACATTTCTGCCTTTCCTCCATCAAAACAGTTGACAGTTTATATGAATGGTTGATAGATCCAAACTTTTAAATAGTCATCATAAATGTCAAATAAGGTGGATAGGAATCAAGTGTCTGAGATTTCTCAAGAACACTTCTGAGTAACTGTAAGAGAGATAAATATATCGTTTTGGCAGCCCTATATTTTACTATCCCGTAGATTGGGAAAAAATCCTAGAAGGGAGTTTATCCACCTAGATTGTTTTCCCTGAAGCAATAAGAGAAGTCCCTTGACTTCATTGGGTTCTTTGAGTCTCATAAGCTCTATCTGTAAGGTCTAAAATAACCCAGGCAACCCCCCCCCTCCCCATTCTTGGTGTCTTGGTTTTTAGCCCTTTTTCTGGGGTTATTTGGGGCACTGATTCAGAAAATTGCTTTAGATAGACAGCATTAGCTCTAGTTTCTTAGATATGGTTATCATGATATTTATGGGAAAGCAGGTGAAGAGTGGTATATGGCATATGTTCTGCATCTCAAAAACTAGAGCTGATAGAGGAAAACTGGTTATGGAGCCAGAGCTATTCAAACATTGGCAGATGGAGTTCTACAGCATTTAAATTCTATGCTTGATTAAGGAGCATTCCTGATTGTTTAGCATTCTTCTTTACTTTTATGATTACAGGGGCCAAGGAAGCCAAGCCTGGTGTTAATTTGCAGCTACAGCGTGATTGACTGGGCCACCAGGCAAGCACAATCCAGTTACTTCAGTTCACCAGTGGGGACGAGCAAGAATGATTGAACAGCTAGGGGGGATTGAATATTTGGGTTTGAGGGAGAATGGGCTTGGTTTGTTCCAGGGCATCATTGGTTTGTTCCTTCATCATTCAGGTTATTGCTGATTTACAGGCAATCCAAGCTCATTGTCCTAGTGTGATATTTGTATTGTCTACAATTTTATTGAGGCAAGATTGGTGGGGTGAGGGGGAAATTATTACCTGTGTAGATGTAAATCCATTTTTAAATAGAACATGTACTGGTCTATTTATCCTAGTGTTTTAATATTTTCACTGCCTAATACACTCACATGCCAGTATTCCTTCCACACATTATGTTCTGAGGCCCCTCCTGTGGCCCCTTCTACACTGCCATATAAAATCCAGATTAATAGATTTGAAGTAGATTATATTGCAGTGTAAAATCATACAATCCTGTTCAAAGCAGATAATCTTGATTACCTGCTTTGATAATCTGGATTATATGGTGGTGTAGAAGGGTCAGAAAGGATTTCTTTCCCAAGGAAAGCACAACCAGATACTTACACACTTTATGAAACTTATGTTTTACATCAAGAAGTGTTGATGATGGTGGTATCTGAAAGGGAACAAAGATAAGAATATATAAACTTTGTATTTTAACTTCTCTGGGCTTTTAAGCTTTTCACTGACCACACAGATAGATAAAGCGCTAAAACATTTTTCTTTCGGTTTAGAATCACAGATTCAAAAGAGCCATCTAATCCAACCCCTTCCAGGAACACATCGTTATAGCATTCCTGAAAGGAATTCCTGAAAGGATTCTATCCAAACCCTATTTTAAGAATTGGCTCCTATATGCATATATGCGGAGCCCCCGGTGGTGCAGTGGGTTAAAGCACTGAGCTGCTGAGCTTGTTGACCGAAAGGTCGCAGGTTCGAATCCGGGGAGTGGCTGAGCTTCTGTTATCAGCCCCAGCTTCTGCCAACCTAGCAGTTCGAAAACATGCAAATGTGAGTAGATCACCCCCTAGGGGTGAGAAAAGCGGTATATAAATACTGTAAATAAATACAATACTCTGGCGGGAAGGTAACGGCACTCCTGTTGCACCTCCAAGTAGTACCACCTTGCTTACGACACCAATGAACACACCAGTCTTTATAGTTTTATTAAAATAAAAGATAAAAAGTTCAAAAAGCAAAAGTATATTTCAAAGATCAATCCAAGGTAACATAGGCAAACAAGATCCATGAAGGCATAGGCAAGGCAAGGTCCCATGAAAAGATGACAAAGTCCTGAAACATGAGCATGAAAGTTGCAAGATAAATCCAAAGTCTCTTGGTTGAAGCGTGAAGTTGCTCTGACACTGAGGCACATTCAAACAGCCTGTAATACTGGCTGTAATACTGGCTGTAATACTGTAATACTCTTTGGACAACATGAAAGCGTTTCTATGGCCATGGGCCTCTCTCTCTCACTTCCCAGCGATCCTGACACTCCTTTGCACTTTCAATTCCAATTGATCAGTTCTATCTAAACCACCAGCCCCGTCAAGGTCAAATCCCTCATTATCTGGTTGAGAACTATCCTCCTTTCCTGTATCTTCCCTTTCCTCCCTTCCTTCACCAGGCACCTGGCTCTCACTCTCAGTAGTTTCACTTTCCCCAGCATCAACCCTTGCTGTGGGAAACAACTGAACTTCTGCCCCCTGGTCCTGGCCTTCCTCGTCTAACACAGGAACATCCTTAGAATCATAGAATCATAGAATCAAAGAGTTGGAAGAGACCTCATGGGCCATCCAGTCCAACCCCCTGCCAAGAAGCAGGAATATTGCATTCAAATCACCCCTGACAGATGGCCATCCAGCCTCTGTTTAAAAGCTTCCAAAGAAGGAGCCTCCACCACACTCCAGGGCAGAGAGTTCCACTGCTGAACAGCTCTCACAGTCAGGAAGTTCTTCCTCATGTTCAGATGGAATCTCCTCTTTTGTAGTTTGAAGCCATTGTTCCGCGTCCTAGTCTCCAGGAAGCAGAAAACAAGCTTGCTCCCTCCTCCCTGTGGCTTCCTCTCACATATTTATACATGGCTATCATATCTCCTCTCAGCCTTCTCTTTTCTTCAGGCTAAACATGCCCAGTTCCCTAAGCCGCTCCTCATAGGGCTTGTTCTCCAGACCCTTGATCATTTTAGTCGCCCTCCTCTGGACACATTCCAGCTTGTCAATATCTCTCTTGCATTGTGGTGCCCAGAATTGGACACAATATTCCAGGTGGTCTAACCAAAGCAGAATAGAGGGGTAGCATTACTTCCTTAGATCTAGACACTATGCTCCTATTGATGCAGGCCAAAATCCCATTGGCTTTTTTTGCCGCCACATCACATTGTTGGCTCATGTTTAACTTGTTGTCCACGAGTACTCCAAGATCTTTTTCACACGTACTGCTCTCGAGCCAGGCGTCCCCATTCTGTATCTTTGCATTTCATTTTTTCTGCCAAAGTGGAGTATCTTGCATTTGTCACTGTTGAACTTCATTTTGTTAGTTTTGGCCCATCTCTCTAATCTGTCAAGATCGTTTTGAATTCTGCTCCTCTCCTCTATTGGCTATCCCTCCCAATTTGGTGTCGTCTGCAAACTTGATGATCATGCCTTCTAGCCCTTCATCTAAGTCATTAATAAAGATGTTGAACAGGACCGGGCCCAGGACTGAACCCTGCGGCACTCCACTTGTCACTTCTTTCCAAGATGAAGAGGAAGCATTAGTGAGCACTCTCTGTGTTCGTCCACTTAACCAATTACAGATCCACCTCACCGTAGTTTTGCCTAGCCCACATTGGACTAGTTTCCTTGCCAGAAGGTCATGGGGGACCTTGTCGAAGGCCTTACTGAAATCCAGGTACGCTACATCCACGGTATTCCCCGCATCTACCCAGCTTGTAGCTCTATCGAAGAAAGAGATCAGATTAGTCTGAAGTATTTGCAGACCACTTCCTTAACAATTTTTTCCAGAATCTTGCCTGGTATCGACGTGAGGCTGACCGGGACGGTAATTGTTTGGGTCATCCTTTTTTCCCTTCTTGAAGATTGGGACCACATTGGCCCTCCTCCAATCTGCTGGAACTTCTCCCGTTCTCCAAGAACTCTCAAAGATGGTTGCCAATGGTTCCGAAATGACTTCCGCTAGTTCCTTCAATACTCTGGGGTGTAGTTGATCTGGCCCTGGGGACTTGAACTCATTAAGAGCGGCCAGGTATTCCTGGACGACTTCTTTCCCAATTTGGGGTTGGATGTCCTCCAATCCCTCATCCACTCCATCTTGCTGAGGTTGAAGACTCTCTTTTTGTGAGAAGACCGAGGCAAAGAAGGCATTAAGTAGTTCTGCCTTTTCCCTATCCCCTGTCAGCATTGCCCCATCTTCTCCTCGAAGAGGTCCTACCGCCTCCTTGTTTTTCCTTTTTCTACTGACATAAGAATAGAAGCCCTTTTTATTGTTTTTAATGTCCCTGGCAAGTCTGAGCTCGTTTTTGTGCTTTAGCCTTGCGGACCTTTTCCCTACAGGTGTTGGCTATTTGTTTGAATTCTTCTTTGGTGATTTCTCCCTTTTTCCACTTCTTGTGCATGTCTCTTTTGTGTCTTAGCACAGTTAGAAGTTCTTTGGACATCCATTCTGGCTTCTTTGCACTTGTCCTATTTTTTTCTCTTTGTTGGCACGGTTTGCAATTGCGCCTTGAGTATTTCACTCTTGAGAAATTCCCATCCATCCGTAACTCCCTTGTCTTTTAGTATCTGTGTCCACGGAATGCTGCTCAGCATTTCCTTCATTTTTTGGAAATCAGCTCTCCTAAAGTCCAAAATGCGGGTTTGACTTGTCTTAGTTTCGGCCTTCCTTTGTACCTCAAATTGCAGGAGCACATGGTCACTTGCCCCTAAGGATCCTACTACTTCGACCGCATCGATCAGGTCCTCCGCATTTGTTAGGATGAGATCAAGAGTAGCCAATCCCCTTGTTGCCTCTTCTACCTTGCAAGGCAAGCGAGGAATTTGTTGGACCTTGTACTTTTGGCCAAGTTTGTTTTCCAGCAAATATCGGGATAGTTGAAATCGCCCATGACTACTACATCTCTTCTCTGTGCCTGTTTGGTCAACTGTTGGCAGAAGACTTCATCAAGTTCTTCCTCCTGGCTTGGGGGTCTGTAGTAGACGCCTACAACGACATCTTTTTGAGTCCCAGTTTCCTTGATTCTTATCCAGATGATTTCAAGCTGGTTTCCCAGATTGCTGTCTTGAATCTCTTCTGCAGCATAAGAGTTTTTGACATATAAGGCTACTCCGCCTCCTCTCCCCTTTGTTCGGTTTCTGTGAAAGAGGTTATACCCCTCGATGTCTACATTCCAGCGATAGGAGTCATCCCACCAGGTTTCAGTGATGCCTATGATATCATATTTGTGGTGTTGTGCTAAAAGTTGGAGTTCGTCTTGTTTATTTCCCATGCTCTGTGCATTAGTGTAAAGACATGTGAGCCCCTGAGATCTTCCCTTGAGCTGTTTAATTGGGATTATTGTGCTTTTGGTACTTGGTCCTTGTTGTGTTTGTGCAGCCCTCCGTTTAGCCTTCTGGCGATTCCCAGACATTATGGGTAAAGTAGTGTTCGCAAGGCTGTTGTCCCCCTCCTCCGGTGGACCCATTTTAAAGTGCGTCTAATGAGGTTTGCGAGTCTGTGAGCAAAAGGGTGTTTTCCTACTTGTGTGAGATGCACCCCATCCCTTGCCAGTAGGCCATCCTCCTGGAAAAGCAGGGCATGGTCGAGGAAGCCAAAGCGTTCCTCCTGACACCATTTTCTAAGCCAGTTATTGACCTGTACTATTTTTCTGGCTCTCGTGGGTCCGTGTCTTACAACAGGGAGGAGGGATGAAAAGACCACCTGTACATTACATTCTTTTAGCTTTGCTCCTAGAGCTCGAAAATCATTTGTGATCTTTTGAAACGTATGCCTTGCAGTATCATTGGTTCCTACATGAATCAACATGAGGGAAGGACTGTAATAGGGCTTGAGGAGCCTGGTGAGCCTCTGAGTGATATGTGATATCCTTGCTTTGCATCCAACTCTGACTCTGAATGTGAATCTCATCATCCCCATCAGAATCACTGACACCATCACTCTGTGATTCCAGCTGAGTCACAACAACTCCATGCACTCATGCCGGCCACATGACCTTGGAGATGTCTATGGACAATACCAGCTCTTTGGCTTAGAAATTTAGAAGAGCACCACACCCCAGAGTCGGACACAACTGGACTTAATGTCAGGGGAAAACTGGAATGTGTCCAGAGGAGGACGACTAAAATGATCAAGGGTCTGGAGAACAAGCCCTATGAAGAGCGGCTTAAAGAGCTGGGCATGTTTAGTCTGAAGAAGAGAAGGCTGAGAGGAGACATGATAGCCATATGAGAGGAAGTCACAGGGATGAGGCAGCAAGCTTGTTTTCTGTTTTCCTGGAACAATGGCTTCAAACTACAAGAAAGGAGATTCCATCTGAACATTAGAAAGAACTTCCTGACTGTGAGAGCTGTTCAGCAGTGGAACTCTCTGCGTGTGGTGGAGGCTCCTTCTTTGGAAGCT